AGCTAAAGAATAAAAAACCAAAGGTTTTGTTAAAGAAGAAGACCTAGACAAGTTCCAGAAAGACCCAAGACCAAAGGCTAAATTAACAAACCCAACAGAATAGTTGATCGAAGTAATATATCAAATAAGTATTAAGAACTCACAAATTGATAGCAGAGCATGGAAGATGAAAAAGAAAGACCTGTTTATAAAATAGATACAGTGTTTGAAAGCCCAAAGAAATATTGATGCAAATTAGATTCAAAATACTTTAACACATAGGCAAAAAGGAGCCAAGAATTGAAAAAAGAAGAAAAAGAATATATTACTGAGGATATTAGAAAAGATTTTTATAGAAATCCTTGAAGACCAGAGGATTTAAAATGAAATACAAGAGAAATTTCTAGGTAGAAAACTAAAATCTAGAAGGAAAAAAGAAAAGAGGAAGGTAAAGAAAAAGAAAGAAGAAGATCTACAAATCCAGACCATAAAAAAAGAAGAATCTGAGCAGACTATCCAAGACTCAAAAGTGAAAAGACCAAAGAAAAGCTCAAGGTACTTTGAAGAAAAGAAGGCTTATAGAAGAATATACTTAGAAGTAAAAAAAACCAAAGAAAAACCCAAGGTACTTTGAAGAAAAGAAGGCTTACAGAAGAATATATGTGAGAAAACTTATTAGAAGAAGCTCTCAAGAAGTAGAAGAATACTATGGCACTGTGAAACAAGAAGAGAAGACCATAAAAAAAATATAAGAAAACTTTTGCGAGCTGGGTTGCTTATTGGAAGGGACAAACTAAACTAAAAGAAGAGAAGGAGAAAGTATAAATATAATCGAAAGAATTCTGGCAACTTTCCTGTAATGAGAGATAAAATAGAATTACTTGTTAGAAAAAAATTAGATTTAGATTATTGCTTTAAAAAGAAGAATAGTTTAGTAAAGGAAAATTGCCAATTAGATGTAGTTAAAAATTTTTTTGATTTGAAACTATCTTGCTATAGTTTTACTGGCTAGCTTGATATAGCCTCCAAAGCAGGCAATTGCCTTAACCAATGAAGCAGACTGTATTTGGGTACCCTTCAGGGCAGCCGAGTGATATCAGATCTACAACTAAGATAGTTTTAAAATAGTTTGTGTAGTTACTTTGATCTAATAAAAGATACCAGCAAAGCTACCAATATGTTAAAAAAAAAATTAATAATATAGAATATATATTTATTATAGAATATATTTTTGAAAATATATTTTATAAATTTTATTATAAAATTTTTTTTAAAATTATTAATCAACTTTTAAGTAATAAAATTTTAAAGTTTTGTTTAAAAATTTTTATTATTAAAATTTTTTCAAGATTTTTTAAGATTTTATATGTTTTCAAAAATAAAAAAATTTTTGCTTTTAATACAAGTTTAAATTTTTATAAATAAGTTGCAAAAATTATAATAATAAAAATTGATATTTTTTATATAAACTAAATTTATTGTATAATTTTGTATTAAGAACTATAACTTCAAATTAATATTTAAAGAGTTTAAAAGAATAATTAGATAATTTTTTTGATTAAAATTTTTTTTCTAAATTTGTATATTTTTATTTAATAAGCAACTTAAAATTTTTTCTTATAAAATAAAATTAAATACTGCTATAATATAATTCTTATTTCAATTATTATTAAAAAAATTTTATTTAAATATTTTAAAATTTAAAAAATATAGATCATAAGTATATTTATAATAATTTTTCAGACAAATTTGCTTGAAAAAACCTACAGGTTAAGGGATAGCAAATTCAAATTTGTTTTAGGTTTTTATTTCAGATTTGCATAACATTATTCTTTATTTTTAATATTTTTAAACTTTAAAAAATTTTTTATAATTCTAACCAGAATTACAATAAGCATAACCAGAATTATAGTAGCCAAATTTTTAGTTTTATTAGTAAAAATAATTAGCTTTAAAAATTTTTATATCAAAATTTAATAAATTAAAAAATAATTCTTGTAACTTTGTTTTTTTAGTTTTTTTTATATTTTTATAAAAAAAATTATTCTGCCTATACTAATTATTTTTGTAATACAATTTAAAAATTGGCTAGTTTACTTGCTGATTTAAGATATTATGCACTGTACAGACAATATTTTATAATATTTTATAATCTTGCAACAATATTGCTGCAATATCATTTTTCCTTTTCTTGTAAGTTTCTCGAAACAATATTTTAAAAAATGGCAAGATTCTGCTATGTATCTTAATTTCGTCCAATCAGAATATAATAGTTCGAGTAGATTCTCATTTTAACGATGATTTTATAACCTGAATCCTGATTCTTGCAAAATAAGTTATTAGAAGGAATAAAACTATTACTGTTAAATTTCTTATGCATGTGGCTGTTTATTTTCGGGCCAACAAACCAATTTTGGACAATAAATCTTAAGCTTCAGAAGTTCAAATAAAAATACATAACTACATCTTAACAACAAATAAATTGTTGCCTACTACCTAATCCTCAATAAAATATGTTCCTTATGAATCGTAATTTCAACAAATAACGCATCCTTTTTTATGTTTTAAAAATTCTTCTCCACCTTCCATCAAAAGATATTTCACACCAATTTCAGATTTATCAACTCTTAGTTCTTCCAAAGATGCTAATAATAATTCAGATTTAATGGCAATACTTTTAAATATTCCAGCTATGTAAGGAATTTCTGTACCTTTATTATTCCTTACTTTATTCTTCCCAACAAATCCCACTGTTGATATCTTGTTCTTATTTTTAGGTAAAAGTGGAGCTGACCACCATCCTTTGGTCTTGGGTCTTTCTGGAACTTGTCTAGGTCTTCTTCTTTAACAAAACCTTTGGTTTTTTATTCTTTAGCT